ATACAGTCCATAACAATACTCAGCAACTCTAAGGATTGCTATTCCAGGGATTGCTATTGAGGCCACTGCAGATCGTATTTCTTTACAACCCCAAGTTTCAAATAATCCCATCGGGGTCACAATTTATATTCAAGTTCCATTTATAAATGGTTTATAAAAGGTTAATAACTGATTAATAGATGTAATGAGCATGATACAGATGTAAGTAATGTCTGTTATACATTATAAGCATCATATTTATCTGTCTGACTATATAACAATCTATTAATCATTTATTAACCATTTATAAATGGAACCTCATTTATCTCCATGATAAAGTGATCTCCATGAGCTAAACACCTGGGCAAATTATTAAGAAATAATACAAACAAATAATATACACTTAACAAAGAAGGCTGTATCCTGTGCCTAGACTGATGTTAGCTGATAAGAAAAGATAGCAGACTTGTGTCTCTAGTCCCAATGAAGGTATTAGGCAGGATTCATAGCCACATGTCAGAATGGTTCACTGTAAGCCCTTTTTTATTGGGGCAGATCAGTTTGGAGACCACTTTTAACTCACTTTGGAGTAATATTTTTTTCTTTCAGTCGTTTGAGAAAGACAGCTAGTCTTCTTCACCTGATCCATTTATGTTAGGTTAGACAGAAACTGGATTCATGTGCAGATTCAGCATTAAATAAATGGGGCATATCAAGTGTTGATGAAAGGAAAAGAAATACCATGTTTCACTGAGGTCATGTCTACACTGCCACTTATGTCAGCAAAACTTATGTCACACAGGGGTGTGAAAAAACACACCCCTGAGCGACATATGTTACACCAGCATAAGTGGCAGTGTGCACAGCGCTATGTCAATGGGAGAGGTTCTCTTGCCAACATGGCTTACCGCCACTGATTGGGGGTGGTTTAATTATGTCAAAAGGAGAGTTCTCTCCCATTGACATAGAGTGGCGCTATGAGAGATCTTACAGTGGTGCAGCTGCATTGGTACAGATAAGTTCTCTCGTGTAGACATAGCTTCAGGTCTGTTAAAGTAATCTGTTCTTTGTACAGCCAGATACTAACAATTTTGGAGATAGAAATGATTGAGAAGTTTAAAAATGCCAGGCTTAAAAAAATCTCCAACATTTGCTAGCCAATTATATTGATTTAAAGATCAAATTCTGCTCTCAGTTATACATGTGCAACTTCATTGACTTCTGTGGAGTTGGACTAATCTGACCTAACATAGAAGCATATATTGGTTTTACATGACTATGTCTCGAACTAACATGATCCATCAAAGAGAGAAATGCCTTCAGTTTTCTATATTAAATAGCATTTATAAAAACAAACTTTTAAAAGGTAGAGAGCATCAGAACTGGTAAAGCTATATGAAACAGCAGATGTTTAGCTCATAAATTTACCACATAAACCACAGTTAAAAGGGTGGGGTGGGGGGCATAGAAAAGGGCTGCAGATTCCTTAAAGTATGTCTTCAAATTTCAATGACCATTCACTATAGATTTCTCTATGCCCGAAGCCACGAGCATATTAGGATGTGCTATCATTTAGTCACATTATTTGCTTTTGATAAAAAGTTTATAAGCGCCTTTGCACATTTCCCAGAAAATATAGCTGAAGGGATGTTATAAACCAGTACAACAAGCTGTACAAAACAGACCTCGTTTTCCATATCATCACAAGAAGCATAGCAAGAAAAACACATGTTAGTAATTGGAAGTGCAGACCAGGACTCAGACCTGGAATACTTAAACGTCTTACTTGTAGGTGGCATATCTTCAAAAGAAAAACTTATTTTTTAATTCCTATAGTGGTGAAAAAGACAACAGACAGAGGCGTAGACTGCTTTTGCTAAAAGGTTAGGAACCAACTATCGCCAGAAGGGTGGTTTATCTTGTTATCCAGTTTTCATTTTTCCTGTGATGTCTGGTAGGATGTTGGCACAATAGCTTCTGGCTCAGGGGCGCAGCGCTGTTCCAGCAGACTGCTCATTTAAATATCTGACATGAACCCAACAAAGCAGGTTTTATAACAACACTGGTAGTGTCACAAAATAGTAAAGGGACATGTCATTTTCCTTTGGCAAAAATGATTTCAAAACAGAGACATCCTGATATGGAACTGAAAACTGGTTATGTGTACTTTGAACTGTCACATCCAGTATCCAGAGTCTGTTTGAATGAGGAGAGGTGAAAGTTTTTGGGGGGAAGGTTTAAATCACAGTCTTGTAGTCTCTGTAAGTATGAACACTTTCCAATTAGCCTAAACTGAATTATTTGTTTTTGTTTTTAAATAAAGTGCTGTTCCTGTTCTTATTTTGTAAATTAATACAACTTTCTTTTTAAGGATTTTAACACATACATTTCAGTGGTCTATCTAGATCAGTACTTGGATTGTAAAACCAGAAATCATGATATAGAACCTGATACAGAGCTGAGGAAAGAAAAGAGTTATCCTACTGTGCAGCCAAAACTCCCAAGGACTTGCCGTACCATCTCACAAAGAAGTAGCTAGGCCCAGAAAAAAACCTGTAATTTGTGTTGAAGCAATCACCAAATTGATTAAATTAATGTTGACACTGTGGAAATTAATATTTTTTACTTCTATCGCAGTAGTGACTAGGCCTAATAACAGACTAGGATCCTATTGTCCTAGACCAGAGATTGGCAACATTTGGCCCACAGTCCGCCAGGGTAAGCCCCCTGGTGGGCTAGGCCAGTTTGTTTACCTGCTGCATCTGCAGGTTCGGCTGATCGCAGCTCCCACTGGCCGCAGTTCGCGCTCCAGGCCAATGGGGGCTGTGGGAAACAGCGTGGGCCCAGGGATGTGCTGGTCGCGGCTTCCCGCAGCCCCCATTGCCCTGGAGCAGCGAACCGCAGCCAGTGGGAGCCGTGATCAGCTGAACCTGCAGACACGCAGGTAAACAAACTGGCCTGGTCCGCCGGGGGTTTACCCTGGTGGGCTGTGGCCAAACGTTGCCCATCCTTGTCCTAGATCCTGTACAAAAACAGAAAAGATTGCTCCAAAATATGTGGGGGTGGGAGTTTGAATGAAGTGTACGGTGTAGTTGAAGTCAGTGGAGTTGTCCCGGGATCGACGTGACCCAAAGTATTTTCCTTTCACTATATTATGGCGTCCAAATCCCTTCAAGAAAAAATCCTCAACTAAACCAATGGGTGGTGCCCCACCTGGCTTTTATTTTTAATCTCTTGAATCCTCATTAAGACCCCTCCCCCCCCCACAACCTTTAATTTAAAAATACTTTTTTTGTTTTGTTTTCTTTTTTAAATCACTACTTAATAGATTTGACTCTCTGCCTTTCCCCCAAAAATCTTTGGGGAAATCCTGTCTTAAAAATGATAATGTGTGGGTTTTCCCCCTCCTTTTTTTTTTTTTTTTGTACTATATAGCGAAGATAAAGGTGGCAACAGCAGCTGAAGGGTTGACATGAGCAAAAGAAAAAAATGTTCCCATCTTTTTCCTTTTGAGTCTTTATTTTAGGATTGCTATGAACAGAAAGTGAACCACAGGCAGCTGTGATTTTAAATAATATGCGCAGAGCAAAGTGTTGGTATTACCATTTAGTGTGACTCACTAGCCTTTTGGAGTTTATTCAGGTTTCTTCTTCAGATGTCCATTCTCGTGACACATCTGCTACTGTCCACTGACTTGCATAGCACAACCAACAACAGGTTTGTACTGTAAATATCCAAGCAGTGACAATTGTTGGGAAAAAAACAAGTGGTGAGACCGTGGGGTGATTTATCTTAGAGGACAGTCATCAGTAAAGTACTTATTATAAACAAAACATGAAAATGAGTATATCTTTAGTATTGCTGCCATAGGTAACTCTTTACAACTTAAAGATTTCTGGAGTCTTTTCAATGTGCGAAAAGAGATCCCAGCTGAATTGCATATGCACAGAACATATACACATAAACTCAATGGCCAGCTCTCCACTAAAATCTGGTTTATACTTCCAATCAGGACTCTTTGATCTAATTCTCTGACCTTGCGCAAGTAACCTGACCTCTCTATGCTTCATTTTCTCCATATGTAAAAGAAATTATATTACTTACCTCTGTAAAGTACTTTAAGATCCTCAGATGAAAGGTGCAGTATAAATGCAAAGAATTATTAATTATTTTTATTATTTCTTAAGCATATAAGGAAGGTTTTTCTTTTCATTTTTAGTTTCCTCTTAAATCTTCATGGCTGTTATATTCACTAAGGCTCAGATTCAGCAAAATCGAGAGGACTTAAGCACATGCTTAAAGTTAAGCACATACCTAAGTGCTTTGCTGAATCAGCAGGTACCTAAGTACACAAGCCATTCAGCAAAAGTCTTCAGATTGTTTGTTTTTTTCATTATTGAAAATCTAGTATTTAAACTGTTTCTTTTAAAATCCATTCTATTTGTAAGTGGTTCTCACATCCCTCCACCTGACACTGATCAATGTAAATAGAATAGCTTTATTTTGAAAGCATTTAAGCAACTGCTGCTGCAGAATCTAATAATCTAATACATACAATGGCCCGAGAATAACCTTTGACTTGATCAGATAGAGGAAAAGCTCAAGGCAGATTTCTTCTACCAGAACTTTGTACTGCAGCTTTGAGAATAATAAAATGTAGTTGTGGTGAAGGCATGTTTTATAGCACACTTGAATGGAAAAGTATTGGGGTGATATATTTTTCTGTCCTACTCAATACCACAAAAGGGATTTGCCATGGAAGTTCCAAAACAAAAAGCCTCTTGACAATGTCAGAACCTTATCTCAAGCAGTAACAATGTTGTTATTCCCTTGTTCCCGAGATTAGAGAGAGAAATAATAGACAGAGGAAATGGGGAATATACTATTTGGCCTGATGACAGGATCACTGATGTTCACAGTTACCTGCACTCAAGCAAAAAGTACATTGGAAAATGGTAGTATAATAACCAGCCAGTTCCACTCCTTTTTTTTTAAGTTAGGAAATGACTTGCAATACTTACCCAGATTTGGCTGGGACATTGCCATTGATCTCTGCGGCACTGGTGTGGAAGTTGCTGCAGGATGATGGTTCATATGATTTAGTGGCTGATTCATGGTCTTTCGAGGGTCTTGCCATGTTGTAATTTTTTCAATATGACTGCAAAAGGGAAAGAAAGGGAGATCAATTTAAAAGGAAAACCTCAGGCATACTATGCAGATTGTCAGAGCATAGGAGCCATAAAAGGAACCAATTATTCCTGAAATCCTTCATTTATCCACCCTTCTTGATTCACCACAATCCATTTATAAACAACTATAATGCTGTCCTTTACTTTTACTCTTGAACGAATTGCAGCCCTCCAGTCTTCTATCTGCTGTGACACCACTTTGCTTACCTTTCCGTATGGATCACCTTCACTAACCTGGACAAATGACGGCACTCACAATGATGTCTTTGACAAGTTAGATGTCTTCAAGTCACCAGGACCTGATAAAACACAGCCTAGAATACTCAAGGAACTGACTGAGGAGATATCTGAGCCATTAGCGATTATCTTCAAAAAGTCACAGAAGATGGGAGAGATTTCAGAGGACTGGAAAAGGGAAAATATAGTGCCAATCTATAAAAAGGGAAATAAGAACAACCCGGGGAAATACAGACCAGTCATCTTAACTTCAGTAACCAGAAAGATAATGGAGAAAATCATTAAGGAATCAATTTGCAAACACCTAGAAGATAAGAAGACGAATAACAGTCAGCATGGATTTGTCAAGAACAAATTGTGTCAACCAACCTAATAGCTTTCTTTGACAGAGTAACAAGCATTGTGGATGGGGGAAGCGATAGATGTGGTATATCTTGACTTTAGTAAGACCTTTGATGCTGTCTCACATGACCTTCTCATAAACAAACTTGGAACTACAACCTACATGGAGCTATTACAAGGTAAGTGCATAACTGGCTGGAAAACTGTTCCCAAAGAGTAGTTATCAGTGGTTCACAGTCAAGCTGAAAGGGCATAGTGAGTGGGGCCCCCCACAGGGATCAGTTCTGGGTCTGGTTCTGTTCGATATCTTCATCAGTGATTTTAGATAATGGCATAGAGAGTCCACTTATAAAGTTGGAGGACAATACCAAACTGGGATGGGATTAAGCTCATTCCTTCAGTGGACATGGAGAACAATTGATCATAGTCCTCCTTATAACAGTCCTTAACATACTTGAAGACTCATCAGTAAGGCTATGATTTAGTCATGGGTATTTTTAGTAAAAGTCATGGACAGGTCACGGGCAATCAACAAAAAGTCACAGCCAGTGACCTGTCCATGACTTTTACTAAAAATACCCCTAACTAAATCTTAGGTGCTGGGAGAGGAGGGGGGCACTCCAGCAGGCGCTGCTGCTCTGGGGTGGGTGCTCCGGTGGTCACTGTTGCCCCTGGGGGTGGCCTGTGGCCCCACTGCCGTTCCTGGGGTAGGGCAGCCCATGGCCCCGCCACTGCCCCTGGGGTGCGGTGGTCCATGGCCCCATCGCAGCTTCTCCAGCTGTGGGGGAGGGCGGGTGGCCCTAAGGTGCCATCGCTACTCCTGGACCACTGCTCCGGGGCACCGCCCGGGACCAGCTGCCTGGGGTGGCCCAAGCAGTGGCCAGTGTGGCTGACCCCAGGGCAGCCAGACCAGCAGCCAGTGCGGCTACAGCTGCGGAAGTCACGGAGATTCCAGAAAGTCGTGGAATCCGTTACTTCTGTGACCTCTGTGAAAGACTTGCAGCCTTACCCATCAGGTCCACCCTCAGTCTTCTTTTCTCAAGACTAAACATGCTCAGTTTTTTAACCTTTCCTCATAGGTCAGGTTTTCTAACCCTTTTATCATTTTTGTTGCTCTCCTCTGAACTCTCTCCATTTTATCCACATCTTTTCTAAAATGTGGCACCCAGAATTGGACACAGTATTCCAGCTGAGACCTCACCAGCACCAACAGGACAGTTGCCTCCCGTGTCTTTCACATGACACTACTGTTAATACACACCAGAATGATATTCGACTTTTTTGTAACTGCATCACATTGTTGACTCATATTCAATTTGTGGATCCACTATAACCCCCAGATCCTTTTCAGCAGAACAACCACTTAGCCAGTTATTCCCCATTTTGAAGTTGTGCATTTGATTTTTCCTTCCTACTCATAATACTTGCTCATCTTTATTGAATTTCATCTCATCAATTTCAGATCAATTCTCAATTTGTCAAGGTCATTTCAAATTCTCATCCTATCCTCCAAATTGCTTGCAACCTCTCACAGCTTGATGTCATCTGCTAATTTATAACCATACCCCACTCCATTATCCAAGTCATTAATGAAAATACTGAAAAATACCAGACCCAGGACTGACCCATGCAGGATACCTATATGCACTTCCCAGTTTGACAGTGATTGACCATTGACAACTATTCTCTGGGTACAGTTGTTCAACCATCTTATAGACCATTTCCTTAGTTTGCTTATAAGAATGTCATGTGGGACTGTGTATAAAGCCTTACTAAAATCAAGATGTATCAAGTCTATTGCTTACTTCCTACCCACTAGGCCAATAAGCCTGTAAAAGAAGGAAATTAGATTGGTTTGGCATTATGTGTTCTTGCCAAATCCATGCTGGCTAATCCCTATAACCCTTTTATCCTCTAGGTGCTTACACATGTCTGTTTAATAATTTGTTCCAGTATCTTTCCAGGTATTGAAGTTAGGCTGGTCTATAATTCTCTAGGTCCTCTTTGTTCCTGTTTTTAAGGACAGGAACTATGTTTGCCCTTCTCCAATCCTCTGGGAACTCACCGATCCTCTATGAGCTCTTGGTTCCGAGACTGCTTCAGCTAGTTCCTTAACTACCCTAGGATGAATTTCATCAGGCCCTGATGACCTGATTATATCTAATTTATCTAAATATTCTTTAACCTGTTGTAACACTTTAGAGTGCTCTACAATCACCTCAGCCTGCGACTTGAGTGGTAAATACAGCACTCCAGCCCCACTCAAAATCCTTGTGGCTTGCCTCATTTCAGATCTTGACTGCATAGTCTGCGCAGATGTCTCAGAAGCGGTGGAGAAGAATACCCTGATGCTGTTACTAAATATGAACTGGAAACACAGAAAATTGATAACAGACTGCTATAGATTTGCTGTGTTCACAATTCTCACACACACACCTATCTCTGTGTGTTTTTGCATATTTACGGGAAGGGGGTGTCCCATGCCCTCTATACAGGACCCATCACTGGTATCTTCACTGGACTCTATTCCGGACCTATTGTCACCACCTTCCTGTTATCACAGTCTCCACCCCTCATCCTTAAGACTCCAGATGCCTTTCCCTCTCAACCGATAATTGGAAGAGCTGCAAATCAGGTTACAGCTGTCAAGCTATCTGGAGTGGCTCACAAACGCGAGTGCCAACCTCAGAACAGACTGTTACAAACCAAGGCACAACCCCAAACTGGGTGTGAGTTCTATACTTAGATTTCACCAACCAAGTATCAGGTGTGAACTCCTCAAGCACTGTAACAGCCTTAACACGAAGTCACAGTCCCCTTGATCTGGTCTATCTTGCCACCCTGGCAAGCTTGTTTTTGTGATCAATGGCCCCTTGCACTAAAAATCACAACAACATTCAGGTTACTTCCAGTCCCCTAGGACCAGTCACCTACCCTGGGTCAACTGTATGTGAGATCTCATACCAAAGACAATGCTTGTAGCCAATCCTATAATAAACTATCTAAAGATTTATTATCTAAGAAAAGAAATAGAGTTATTTACAAGGTTAAACACACACACGCATTAATTACAGGCTTAGGTTTCAAAAGTAATAGACGCTGCTGTAATGTGCAAGCTCTCTATGTCCTTTAGGGCTAAACCAAGCTAAACAGCCGGGGATCCCGTGCTTACACTTAGAAGTCTTGCCCTCTCATGAAGTCCAGGGGATAACAATTTCTTCTTGGCAGGGATTTTTATTTCGTTCCCCCAGAGCTCAAGTTGATGGGAGGGACTGTGCACATCTCCTCTTCATAGGTGTGGAGGTAGCAATCAACTAAGTCTTTTGTCCACTGATGTTCCACAATGGCTTGTCTGGTGTCTATGTGCCCTCTTTTGTTGGAGAGGAGGTGACACCTCTCAGGGTAAGCTAGTATTTCATAGTTGGTAATGCTTCTCTCCTGACTGTGGAGAGCTTTAGGGCAAACGCTTTTTTAGTTACAGACAATATTAGCTTATAACATGGGATACAGGTGTTATATGTAAGATTAATACATGGAGCATCCTACAAGCATTTCATTAAAATTGAAACACCAAACACATTCTTAAAACTTTAATATCTACTTTACATAGGTGAGCCACACTGGTTTCCAGCTATGCATTTGTTAGTGTTCAGTGAGGCCTAGGGGGCTGTGGCATTAGCTAGCCCCGGTTTGCCAACGTCCCAACAGCCTACTGTGATGTTACCATCCCACTCCTCCAAATGCTCTAAAGTCAGGTTTGGATATTGTCAGAAATAATATAAACCCCAAGCAGAAAAAATCCTTTAAAAAATGAACAAGTAGTTTTGAGGCTGTCTTTATACCTCTGATAATTGTTTGTTTGTTTTTACTTTTCATTTCACATTTAATCTATTCCCTCCAAGTCTCCACAACTGTAGATTACACACCTGAGTCACTTCCTTTCAAGCCTCGCCTTAATACTTTCTCCTTTGCTGAAGCCTATGATCAGCTATACACCTCTCTCATGTTTCCCTTCCCCCATTATTTCTTCCTTCCATCTTGCCCTCCATGCAAGCCTTTACCACTATTAACATTTCAGCTTTTTCTTGTATTCTACTTCACTTTGCCTTTCGGTCAGTATAAGAATCATTGTAGCCAGTTCTGCGAAATGATCTCTTTCAAGTCTACCTCCAACTCTAAAGTGTTATAAATGGTTGTATGAAAGATCCAGTTATAAAAATAAATTTGGCAATGCTCTCTAGTGTATAGTCCAATTTACTTTTAGAGAGGGTGGGAGGTAATTATATCAACTGTCAATTACATTTAAAGGCCCACCATTCTGTTTGATCTGGCACACTAAATTCAAGTAAAAAGATTAAATGTAATCAGGGTTGTGCATTTGGGATTTCTA